CGCTGTCCCCGAAGTGGATCCAAGTGTGGTATTTTTACAATATTGGGGCCCTTTTACATACGTAAAGGCCCCCCAATCCCTCCTATGTTGAAGGCTCTGCTGAAATGACAGATTATCAGGGTGGGTCCAGGCGAGAGATGGAGGTCTTGCTCTGTTCTCTACTTGTTTAAGCAGTGCAGATGAGAGGGGGGGCAGGAAAAAAAGAAAGTGGGGCATATCAAGGTTGGGCGTACTTTTGCCCCGTACGGATCTTGCAACCCCTTGTCAAGCAGATGCGAGTCGGCGAAAATGCTGTAAGCTTCTGGCTGCCCTTGTTGCAAGATTTACAACGGTTTTTCATGGTTAGTTTGGAGTCAAAAATTTTACCCCCAAAGGTTTCAACTTTTTCCAGGGGCCAACTCGTCCATTCACCTTACTAGCACCGATTACCATTGGTGCCCAGAGCGATCATCATTTTCGTTTTCTCGGTGCAAATGTTACTTGCCTCTATTTCCCCCAAATATATAGCTCTCAGTTGGTGATTTAGTAGCTTTGAGACCTGGCATTTTTTTCTCTTGGATAAGTGAATGTCGGGGTACAGTCGTCGCATATGCTGTGATTTGGGAGAGATGAAAAAGGTCGTTGAAGTAGAATTCATAAATGAACCCGACACTTCCTTGTGGAAGCTTGCCCAAAAGGATCCTTGTGATTCCGTTCCCTTTAGGACTAATTAGGATCTCCCTGAAGGTAATCACTTTTGGGAGAATAGGTAGAGCCCGCAATTCCCCGGCTTGAAGTTTTGTAAGAGGCCCTGGTGCCACACCGGTCGAAAGGCCCCGCAATGTCCAGTGTACCCACAGCTGATTTGGTTCATCCAGGGATGGTGCACTTTGGAGAGGTTTAAAAATAGTCAGCAGCAGAGTAACCTTTCCTGAAGCATATTGACGATCAAAAGTAGTGAGTGGTAGTCAAAAAAAAACTGTCATTTGTCTTTAGATGTAAAATAAAAGGGCACAAGGGGCAACTAAAGTGACATTTATTTGGCAACGTTTCGCTCTCCAGGAGCTTTATAAAACCATTTTTTTCTCAAGGATCTTACCAGTGATTGATAGGGTGACATGGTCTGTAGTTGCTGATTTTGCTCTGCTCTTCTTTTTTTTGAACAGGGGCTACATTTGCCTCTTTCCTTTGGAGGGCCCATTTACACTGTCCTAGGCGGCTGAAAGATGGAGTTGAGGTGCTGCTAGGGTTGCCCCTCTAAAAAATCTTTGGGGAATTGTTGGGCCCCCGCCTTTTCTTGGCAAGTGATTTTGAAGGAAAGACCTCCTCCTGCCTTATTGTCACCATTGAAGTTTTGACAAGTTCTTGCGTAGCCAAGGAGGGTCCCCTTTCTGGTCAGGAAATTGCATTTTGGTAGCAAGTGTTTAGAAAGGGTCCGCCTTCCTGATACTAGTAAGGTGGTCCCCTCTGCTGTTTAGAGGGGGAATAAGTTTATCGGGAGATAACCTTGTTGTCCTTACCCGGGACCACCCGGTTTTGGAGCCTACCCTACCCATGCAAATTTTTTTTTGTGTCCACCTCCCCTTTAGCAATGGCCCATTTTTAACATTTTCCCATATGCCCACAGGCTTGAGGGGCAATTCCTGTTTAGGTGGTAGGAGTCTCTTATCCCTTTGCCATGCTTTTACTTAGGTTGCGCCTCTTACAACGAAAACCAAACCTAGGCGTCTGTAGGGTTTGTCACTATTGCCGGTGAGGAAAGTTGTTCTTGTTTCAGATTAGGATTTGTCCAGTGAAGGCTTTCCTTTGGTTTTCAACATCCCCCTGGAGAAGAGCATTCCAGGGTTTGGGGTGGCGAGCTCAGAGCAAAGGGCTGGCCTTACCTCTTTCCCATAGCCAGGGTTGTGCGTGTGGACTCCTACCTTTCTGTTGGGATTTAAATGGGTAAAAAAACAGCCTTGTGGCGACGATCCAAAGTAGCGAGGGTTTTTAAAGCGACATGCCCTTTTGCCAGATCATCATATGGGGGCAAGGGGGAGCCCGAGATATGGTAGGGAAAACAAAAAAGTTTCTCAAGTCAAACACTGCAGAAGGTCTCAAAGTCCCTCTGTATAAGGGGCTGGTTGAGGTCACCAATTATAATTGTTGACGTTTTGTTGAGGAAGGGAGTCAAAAATTTTTCCATTTGGAGTTTTGGGTCTGGTTGCCATGAGGTCTGTACATTGCACAGCTAGTCAGAGGCTGGTTTATACAGAGCTTGAAAAACATCTTTCAAAATGTTTGGGGGGGGACATTATTGGGGTGGGCAGAAAATTTTGGAAGCCAAAAGCAAAAACCCCCACCTTGCCCTTTCCGTTTTTCATCCTTTGGGGTTGCCGAAGCTTTTTAAAATTTTGGGGGCCGTTAGCCAATTTTTAAAAAAGCTTTTGGGGGAGTGGGGGCCCCAAGGTGGGGGTGCCCTTTTTTGGGGTTTAAAGGGTTGGGGGGCTGGTGGGGGTTGTGGGGGGCTTAAAGAGGGTTTGCGGGGGGATTGGGGGGAAAATTGGGGAATTGGAGGGGGTATTGGGGAAAAAAGGGGGGGGGAAAAAAACTTGGGGAGAAATATGGGGTTGAGGGTATAAAAGGGGTAATTTAAAAGGGGGGAAAAAGAAGAGGGGTTGGGGTTCGGAGAGGTTTTAAAAATTAAAAAATTTCTTTTAAAAATTTTTTCCCCCAAAAAAAAAAAAAAAAAAAAATTTTTAAAAAAATTAAAAATTTTAAAAAAATTAAAAAATTTTAAAAATTTTAAAATTAAAAAATTTTAAAAAATTTTTTAAAACTTTTTTAAAAAATCCCTTTTAAAAATTTTAAAATTTTTTCAACCCCCCAAAATTTTTAATTTTTAAAAAATTTTTTCCATTTTTTAAAATTTTTTTAACCCCCAAATTTTCCCCAAAATTTTTAAAACAAAATTTTTTAAAATTTTCAAATTTTTAATTTTCCCCAATTTTTTTTTTTTTTTAATTTTTTAAAAAATTTTTAAAATTTTTAAAAATTTTTAAAAAATTTTTAAAAAAAAATTTTATTAAACCCCAAAATTTTTTAATTTTTTAACCCCCCCTTTTTTAAAAATTTTTTAACCCCCCCCCTTTTAAAATTTTTAACTTTTACCATATAAAACTTCACACACTCTCCTCTCTCTCACTCTCTCCTTACACTCTCTTCTCTCACACTCTCTCCTCACACACTCTCTTTTCACAACACTTCTCACTCTCTTAACATCTCTCACACCTCTCTCTACACTCTCTCTCTCTCACACTCTCTCCCCACACTTCTCTCTCTCACACTCTCTCTCCCCTCACACTCTCTCTCTCTCACACTCTCTCTCTCTCACACTCTCTCCCCTCTCACACTCTCTCTCCTCTCACACTCCCCTCTCTCACACTCTCTCTCTCTCCCCACTCTCTCTCCCCACACTCTTCTCTCTCACACTCTCCCTCTCTCTACACTCTCTCTTTTTCACACTCTCTCTCTCTCACACTCTCCTCTCTCTCACACTCTCTCTCTCCACACTCTCTCTCTCTCACACTCTCTCTCTCTACACTCTCTCTCCCCCTCTCTCCACACTCTCTCTCTCTCACACACTCTCTCTCACACCTCTCTCAACACCCCTCTCTCCCCCACTCTCCACACTCTCTCTCTCCCCTCTCTCTCACACTCTCTCTCCTCTCACACTCTTTTCTCTCTCACACTCTCTCTCTCTCACACCCTCTCCCTCTCTCTCCACACTCTCTCTCTCTACACTCTCTCTCTCTCACACTCTCTCTCTCTCACATCTCTCTTCTACACACTCCTCTCTCTCTCACCCCTCTCTCTCTCTCACACTTCTCTCTCTCACACTCTCTCTCTCTCACATCTCTCTCTCTCCACTCTCTCTTCTCTCACACTCTCTCCCCTCACACTCTCTCTCACACTCTCTCTCTCTCCCACTCTCTCCCCTCTCACACTCTCTCTCTCTACTTCTCTCTCTCACACTCTTTTCTCTCTCACACTCTCCCCTCTCTCACATCACTCTCTCTCCCCACTCTCCCCACACTCTCTCACACTCTCTCTCTCTTTTTCTAGATGCATAAATACTTACTATAACCTACTTTTCACATCCATCTATTTTACTAAACATGATCCTTGAATTTATACATTTATATTCCCTCTTTTCCTGCCATAACTTATCCTTCAACATTATTGCTACTCCTTCCTCAGCTGTATTAGAAACCCCTGACCTAATCCAATTTATTTCTCTCCACTGAAACTCCTACCCTTTGTTTTTTTTCACTTAGAACATCCAGCTTCTTTTCATTCAAACGTCCACAAATCATGTGTCTCTTATCATTCGCCCTACATCCACACACATTCAAACATCCCACTTTGATGGTTTTCTTATTTTTAGGAAGCTGTAAGGAAAAGGGGGTTACTAACCCACTGCTCCCGGCATTTCAGTTGACTTTTACAATGTACATGGCTTACAGAGGAGAGATTCTTATTCCACTTCCCCATGGGTATGAAAAGAATAGTATGAACAAGACCTATTAAGATGAAATAAAAGAAAAATCAGATGAGTGTGTATACATAAACGTGTACATGCATGTGTAGTAGTGTGCCTTAAGTGTAAGTTAAAAGTAGCAAAATATTTCCTGTTACTTGTGTGTTATGAGAGAGAGAAAAAAAAAAACAGTCCCCTATCATGTAGAACTATTTGGTAAAGGGCGGTATTACCTCCCTTTGGGGGGCTGCTATCTACCAACCTACTAACTTTACATAACTATTACATTGTTTAACCCTTAAGTTGTCCAAACACAGATCTATGTTCATGTGCGTAGCGCTCTGACCTTTATTTTCTCCATTTGAAAGCATGTAAAAAAAAATGTAGATCTACATTTGGAGCGCTACGCATGTGAACGTAGATCTACGTTTATAAAGTTTAAGGGTTAATAATAAAATAAGACAGTAATAATAAAATAGAAGTGTGGAATGATGATACCTACCAACTTTACCCAGCAGTGATGGCCAGTGGAACAGCCCAGCTGTTCCAAAAACTCAGAAAAGTCAGTTGTCTTCTTTTGACAACAACTCCAGTACTTGAGTCCTTCATGAAAGATAGGAATTCCAGGATGGTACCTGCATAAATCCAGATTACTAGGTTCACCCTCGTAATTCTGCAAACACGAATAAGAAAAATTAAAAACCACTCCAATCGTAAATTAGTGTTGTATACTGGCTTTGGGTACAGTAGACCGTTATATTACACATTTATCTGCCACATTTTGGTTATTGCACTATTGAAAAATTGCGGTACAATTTTATACAACACTTCGTAAAATTAACTTTACACGGTTCCATTTGCTCAAGCTGCCACCTTGTTGTGGGTCAGCGGGGTAGACCTGCCATCCCCTGCCACCCCCAACACTCCTGCCACCACCATCCCAGCCTTCATGAATAGGTGCTCAGTTCCATTCTGTCTTAGGAGCTAGGTGTTTTGTGAATTGTGTTTTGATCTTTTAATTACCGTATCTTGTATCTGCCAAGCAATCATGACACCCAGTAGGCATATCAGTGTTGCTGAAAGTGGCAAGAAAAGGTATAACCGTTTAAGTCTTAGAGTTAATGAAGAAAATAGAGATATTAGACAAGAGATAGCCTGTGGCTGTAATAAAGTGTCACTGTGCAATAAAAGAGAACGAGGTAAATATGTATACAAATTTGTGTGATGAATAACTGACTTGACAAAGTTGGACTTTTTCCACTGAAGAGGACCCTGAAACGGTGTGCAGAGCAGATGATGCCTTACTGTCAGTCATATAATGTACTGCGGGGTAAAACAGAACAGAAATCCAATACAGAATTTATGCACATTCCAGTACTACAACCATCAACTTCAGTACCAGAACCTCTACCATCCACCTCAGATCGATAGAGCCACAGAATAACTCTCCACTCTTCACAATCATCCACAAACACCAGCACCCACAATTTAAGGAAAGAAATACTATTATTTCTGTTGCATCTGTAGTTTTAAGTAGTAAAAACAACAACAATACATCATGACAATAAGCTACAATTACATATTCACTTATTTTTGTAAGATGTGGAAGTCTTAGCTTTTTTGGGGCTCCAAGGAGTGTAACCCTATTTTTCCCACAAGTTCTTCAGTTTTCAGAAACTTAAACTACCATGTAATATAACAGTCAACTGTATTTAAAAAAAATACCAAGATACAGCAAACCTCTCATTAATGGACTAAAGGGGGGTGAGGGTGTACGATGATGCAGATTGTCTGCAACTCCAGAATTATGATGATTAATTTCATGATCATCCGGTTGTCTTATGAACTTAGTGGACTTAGTCCGCTGACGCAAAAGACAACTGGACACTAAGAATATTGGCATTTTAACCTGTAGTACTACAGTACAGTACTAAAATGTATAGTAATTTTATAGTACTTTAAGTAATTTACAGTAATTTTGCTTACCGTTTTGTGGAGAGATGAGGTGTAAACTGCTGTGATCAACAGTGATAATCCAGAGTAACTTATTCTGAGAGGAGCTGCAAAGCTCTATTAATTAAAATAATGTATATGGCTCTGATGTAGATTTCACATACCCATGCCACTGAGATGCCACACTCAACTTTCTTTATTGAAGTTTCTCCTTCACACTGAAAACCAAAAGTTTCCTCTTCGTACCACTACTTGCTTTAGAAGCCAATGTTAATTTAACTTTACCTAACATGTTAATAAAGTCATGCAACACACTAAGTCCAAGGAAAAATGGAAGACTAATGACAAGTGTAAGTGAGCACAAACAGTGGATGTGGCCACTGTGCACTGTACAGTGGACCCTCGGTTTTCGCGTTTAATCCGTTCCAGAGCCATCGTCGAAAACTTAAATCATTTTCTCCATAAGAAATAATGTAAATGGAATTAATCCGTTTCAGCCACCCAGAAGTATTAACAAAGTTTTTTTTAACTAAGCGATAGATTTACAAGCACAAAAGAATGAACATTACACATGACACTTACCTTTATTGAAGGCTGTTGTTGCTGGATGGAAGACAGGGAGGAGGGGAAAGGGAAGACAGGTTATTGTTTGGAAGGGGAATCCCCCTCCTTAAGGACTCCATGTACCAAGTGCATATCAGGGGTCACTTCTCTAGCCACTTCCCTAACTTAAAGATAGATTTACATGCAGAAAAGAATGGCAAATAAATGTAAAGCACTAATAAAATGTATAAATGAACATTTAACAACACACTTACCTTTGTTGAACTCTTGTTGGTGTGAGGGAGGGGAGGAGAGTTTATTGCTGGAGAACATGGCACTAATATCAACTTTACGGCTTATTTATCTATCAAAATTCAACTAATATGACAAACAATATTAATAACAGAAACATGACATACTCTAGAATGAATAAAATAAGTCATTATGTATGTCACAAGAAGTGTTCTGTTGTTGTTGGGCGTATAAGGGCCACAGAGCATAAGCCGCCCATAATGGTGGTGAAGGCTGCAGCTGAGGTGGCGGAGTTTTCTGTAGCCATATATAACTCCAACAATATTGGAGGAGTTAGTAGAATTGCTGAATCACTGAAGAAGGCATCCTCTACTACCACCACTACCACCATCACTACCATACTCTACTACCACCACCACTTTCGTATTTTTCTACAAACTTTTCCTTGAATTATATCACGTTTCTCACATTCTTTACCAAAGGGCTGGCACTAGAAGCTTTCTGTGTCAATTCCCATTTTGTATTTGAATATATATAGGGCAAACGGGAGAGGAGAAGGATTAAATTACAGTGGTCCCTCAATTATCGCCCATAATCCGTTCCTGGAAGTGGGACTATTATCGAAATGGACGATTTACGAATCAATTTTCCCCATAAGAAATAATGTAAATTCAATTAATCCGTTCCTGACACCCAGAAGTATTAAAACAAATTTTTTTTACATGAAATATAGATGTAATACATAAAAAATACAGTGGCACATGATGAATTAAACATTAACAGAATAACACTTACCTTTATTGGCGATTCTTCTTTGTGTATGGAAGACTGGAGAATGAGACTGATTGGATGATTTACTGTTTGGAAGGGGAATCCACTTCCATCAACACCTCAGGTAGCATTTGCTTTTCTGGGGTTACTTCTCTTCTCTGTTTCTTAATGCCACTAGGACCACCTTGAGAGTCACTGGAGTCCTGTCTCGCAAAAAAACTGTCCAGAGAGCTCTGTTTCTGGCGTCTCTTTAAAACTTCCCTAAAATGGGCCAAGACTGTCACTGTACAAGTTGCCAATATGGCTTGCAACATCCTTCTCTGGGTGATGTTTCTCCATAAATCTTTCCATCCTACCCCACATTTCAAAAATCTCCTTAATTTCTGAAGAAGGCACCTTCTTTCATCTCTATTCCTCCTCCTCTGCAGCAAGATTCTGAGCTGTGATCTGTTGCTTTTCCTGCTGAAGCTCTTGCAGCTCCTCAGTGGTTAGCTCTTCGTTGTGGTCCTCCACCAACTCTTCCACATCCTCCAAACTCACATCCAACCCCATGGAAGTCCCCAGTGCCACAATGGATTTAACAACTGACATAGGCTCATCAGGAGCTGCCTCAAACCCTTCAAAATCCCTCTTGTGGACACAATCTGGCCACAATTTTCTCCAAGCAGAGTTCAAAGTCCTGGTAGTCACTCCCTCCCAAGCCTTACCTATAAGGCTTACGCAATGGAGAATAGTTAAGTGTTTTTTTCCAAAAATCTCGTAGGGTCAAGCGAGTGTCTGAGGTCACATTCAAGCACCTTTCAAACTTTGCTTTGGTGTAGTTTTTTAAAGTTTGAAATGACTTGCTGGTCCATGGGCTGGAGGAGAGGAGTGGTATTCAGGGGCAAGAACTTTACTGTGATGAACCCAAACTCCTCGAAAATTAGGTCATCCAAGTTTGGAGGATGAGCAGGTGCATTGTCCATTACTAGCAGACACTTGAGATCCAATTTCTTTTCCAGGAGATACTCCTTCACACTAGGGCCAAACACTTCATTGAACCACTCGACAAAAATGTCCCTTGTGACCCATGCCTTACTATTAGATCTCCAAAAATGCACAATTTACTCTTCATAACATTGTTTTTCTTGAACACACTGGGATTTTCAGAATGGTACACTAGTAACGGCTTCATTTTGAAATCCTCACTAGCATTAGCACAGAACATTAGCGTCAGCCTGTCTTTCAAAGGCTTGTGTCCTGGCAGCTCCTTTTCTTCCTGAGTAATGTAGGTCCTCTTAGGCATTTTCTTCCAAAAGAGGCCTGTTTCATCACAATTGAACACTTGTTCAGGTTTCAGTCCTTCAGTCTCTATGTACTCCTTGAATTCCTGCACATATTTTTCAGCCGCTTTGTTGTCAGAACTGGCAGCCTCACCATGCCTTACCACACTGTGTATGCCAGTACGCTTCTTAAATCTCTCAAACCAGCCTTTGCTGGCCTTAAATTCACTCACATCACCATTAGTTGCAGGCAATTTCTTTACCAAATGGTCTTGCAACTGCCTAGCCTTTTCACAAATAAGCAACGTCATAAGACTATCTCCTGCTAATTGTTTCTCGTTTATCCACACCAATAATAACTTCTCAACATCTTCAAGTACTGGTGATCTCATTTTTGTCAGCATAGTTACCCCCTTTGCAACAACAGCATCCTTGATTTCCTTTTTCTTGGCTATGATGGAAGATATGGTTGTACGGGATTTGTTATACATCCTGGCCAGTTCGCCCACACGTACGCCACTATCATATTGTTCAATGATGTTTTTCTTAAATTCAATAGTATTTCTCACCTTTACCAAAGGCTTGGCACTAGGAGCTTTCTTTGGAGCCATGGTAGCTTATTTAGCACTTGCAAGCACTAAAATCAATGGAATATTATGAAATATTTCGTTGGAGCATGTGAGGGGACCGTCGCTCACTGGTAAACAATGGCACACTGGCTGGGAAGGGAAGGCCCAGGCGGCTCAGAGTGTGAGTACGCGTCCCGGACGAAGGACTATTAACGAGTTAACGGACCATTTGCGAGCCAATCTTTAGATGAAATAACAGGACTATTTCGGAAATGGACGACTTTCAGGCCGGACGATTATTGAGGGACCACTGTATGTATGTA